CATGTTACCCAGGCTGGAGTGCAATGGCGCGATCTCGGCTCACCGCAACCTCCGCCTCCTGAGTTCAGGCAATTCTCCTGCCTCAGCCTCCTGAGTAGCTTGGATTACAGGCACGCACCACCATGCCCAGCTAATTTTTTGTATTTTTAGTAGAGACGGGGTTTCACCATGTTGACCAGGATGGTCTCGATCTCTTGACCTCGTGATCCACCCGCCTCGGCCTCCCAAAGTGCTGGGATTACAGGCTTGAGCCACCGCGCCCGGCCCAGAGATAAACATTTACCAGGAATGGTTTACAGTGAGATTGGTTGAATAGAAGTTCAAAGGACACATGGAGGGAGAAATGAACAATTTTCCAGGAAGGGCAATAAAATACTACATATAGAAATCATCCAGGCAGACAAGGGAGAAAGGGAACAGGGCAGATAACATATGAAAAGACAAGAGTGTGTGTACAAACATTGCTCTGATCTCCCTGGCAGCAGTGAGGTCCAGGGTGGGGTCATTATTGGGACAGGTCAGAGTCACAAGTCAATAACAGAAATCATGTTCTGCATTAGGGAAAAAGGCAGCCAAAGTCTAAGACTGAATAGATGGTGGCTCAACATAGGTTGCCAAATTCAAAACTCTAAAAGGAAAACGGGCAAAATTTAATGATTAAAAGCCTGGGCTCTAACATCACACTGGGATCAATTTCTGGCTCTGCTGCTTAATAACAAGTAATATGTTCCTCAGTTTTTTAAAGTGGAAATGTCAGCAATGGCTGCACCTGCTTCATGGCATGGGTTTTGTGAAGATGAAATGAGGTAGTGTACCTAAAGCACTAGGAACCCGCAATGTATTGGCATCTAGAAAGTACTCAACATTTTTGTTTTATTGTTATTTACTGTATGCAACCAAAATGGGATGAAGAAACAAGGAGATGTGGTGAGCAAGGCGTGTCAAAGGAGCAGGGGGAGAGGGAGGGTTGTGCTAGACTGGAGGAATTCCAGAGCTGGGTCCAAAAGCCAATGGCTAGTCATCCAACTTAAGCTGATTTGCTTCAGTATGCAGCTTTTCCTTTTAATATTATTTATATGGCTAGATGCAATGGCTCACGTCTGTAATCTCAACACTTTGGGAGGCCGACATAGGCAGACTGCTTGGCCCAGGAGTTCAAGACCAGCCTGGACAACATGGCAAAACCCTGTCTCTACCAAAAAAAAAAAAAAAAAATTAGCCGGGTGTAGGGGTGCACAGCTACTTGAGAGGCTGAGGTGTGAAGGTTACCTGAGCCTGGGAAGGTCAAGAATGCAGTGAGCTGTTATCATGCCACTGCACTCCAGCCTGGGCAACAGAGTAAGACCCTGTCTCAAAAAAAAGAAAAGAGAAAAAGATTCTTTAACAATTTCAGATCCTCCACTTACCTCACTTCATTATACACTCAGCTCTCTTGGTTTAGCCCTCACCTTTCAGCACGCATTCTAGGGTGACTTTACCTTACAGACTCAAAAGGATTATCAAGGTCACTGAACAAGCTCCACAGTCCCCAAGTAATAAAGAAAGGATTTTACTTCCCCAGTGCTCAAAAGTGCCTGCAAATAGTTACTGTTTTAAATAACATCTGTTTTCCTTACATCAGAATGGTGTGAGACCCAAAGGAGAAAGGATTTTGCACAAGTATAAATGCAGGGGTCATTTATTAGCTAGTACCGTAGTTTCTCAGCATTCCCTTCTTCCACAAAGCTCCCAGAGGCATCACTCCATAAGCAGCTTTTCCTCAGACTTCTCTCTGTGACTGAATGTTGGCTCAATCCTCTTGTCTTCTCTCTACACTCCATTCCCAGGTAACTCATCAAATCTCTCCCCAGTCTCTCCTCCCCAATCTAATCCCATGGTTTTAATACCATCTACACACTGGTAACTTCTGTGGCAGCCTCCAGGATGGCTCCAGTGATCCCTGCCTCCTGGTCTTCATTCCCTTGTGTAATCCCCTCCCACAATGAACAAGGAGCAGATTTATTAAAGAAGTGATGGTATACGTCCTCCAAAGATAGGTCACGAAAGCCTTTCAGTTCTTCCATGGCTTCCTGGATTGTACTGTCTGAGGGATGTCAGCTACTGGCAAGGTTATATCATGGGGGCAAAAACTATCTGGAAAAAAAATCGTGATTTCACAAAATTTCGCACTGAAGCTCCAATGGCTAGGATTTCATGGCACAGCCAGAAAGACCCAAATAACAGTCCTTTTCTGATACTGTCTCAGCCAAAATGTCCTATAAGTCTTCACTCAACAAAGGAAGCATTACATTTCTAATTATATGTAAGTTCATGTCGCCTTATTCTCACTGACAAGAAATGCAACTAGCACAGCATCTATCAGTCCCTTCAGGCTGCTAGAACAAAATACCTCGAACTGGGTGGCTTAAAACTGAGAGAAACTGGCTGGGCGCAGTGGCTAACACCTGTAATCCCAGCACTTTGGGAGGCCAAGGCTGGCAGATCACAGCTACTCAGGGAGGCTATAACCTGTAGTCTCAGCTACTTAGGAAGCTGAGGCGGGAGAATCACTTAAACCCAGGAGGCAGAGGTTGCACTGAGGTGAGATTGCATCACTGCACTCCAGCCTGGCAACAGAGTGAGGCTCTGTCTCAAAACATAAAACAATAAATAAATAAATAAACAAATTAACCCTGCGTGTTCAAGTCACTTGTGACGTGTTGATACTGGAAGGTTTATCTTTTAAAACAAGAAAGAAGCAAAAAAGGAAACCTTTTAAAATGAGCAACTTAATAAACTAAAATTGTCTTATTTAACTAATAATCAGGAGTTCAAGACCAGCCTCGCCAGCATGGTGAAACCCTGTCTCTACGAAAAATACAAAAATTAACCTGGCATGGTGGTGCACACCTGTAGTCCCAGCTACTGGGGAGGCTGAGGCAGGAGAATCGCTTGAACCTGGGAGGCAGAGGTTGCAGTGAGGCAAGATCTCACCACTGCACTCCAGCCTGGGTGACAGAGAGACTTCTTCTCCAAAAAAAAAAAAAGAGAGAGAAACATTTCTCATAGTTCTGGAGGGAGCTTCAGTGTCTGATAAGGGCCCACTTTCTGGATCATACACAGCTTCTTCTCGACATATCCTCACATGGCAGAAGGGGCAAAGCAACTCCCTGGGGTCTCATTTATAAGGACAATAATCCCCTTCGCCAGGGCTCCACCCTCATGACCTAATCCACTCTCGAAGGCCCTACCTCCTAATACCCGGACATTGGTGATTAGGTCTCAACATACAAATTTAGGGGGACAAAAACTTTCAGACCATACCAACATCCTTATGATGAGAGTCTAGCCCTCATTCACTAGACCACAAACCCTAATTCAACACAGATGTGAGATGTCCCTTCGACTCAGCAAATAATGAATTGCAGAAGTGGAAGGTCTGTCTTTAAAGAAAAGAACTGCTAAGAAAAAAACCTGAATAAAGAATCCTATGGCAAAAGACGAGAAAATTGTTTATGATTATCCTAAAATCTAAAATTTAACAAATTTAAATTTTTACTTTTATATGCATATGTTATGTGTATAAGCTGATGGAAGGTCTGGAAAATATTGTATATATACTAAACTGTTATAGTAGTTATCTGTTGGGAATTAGCAAGGGGTTTGAGGAATACCTTCATTAAAATGTTTAACAAACAGCATATATGACTCTGATAATCAGAAAAAAATAAAAATTTTATTCTCCCAAACAAATGGCTTTGCAATGGGTCACAGCAGGAAGGAACCGCCTAGAAAAACAGCCATAGGGTGCCAAAGCTTTATTTCTTTAGGCTTTGTAAGAGTGCCATCTTCTGGAGTCTCGGGAAATGAACCTTAAAATAACCCTTGCCGGGTGCAGTGGCTCACACCTGTAATCCCAGCACTTTTGGAAGCCAAAGCAGGTGGATCACTTGAGGTCAGGAGTTTGAGACCAGCCTGGCCAACATGGTGAAACCCTGTCTCTACTAAAAATACAAAAATTAGCCGAGGGTGGTGGCACGTGCCTGTAGTCCCAGCTACTTGGGAGGCTGAGGCAGGAGAATCACTCGAACCCAGGAGGCAGAAGTTGCTATGAGCCGAGATTGTGCAATTGGATTCCAGCCTTGGCAACATAGCAAGACTCTGTCTCAAAAAATAAAACAAAATGAATAAAAAATAAATAAACTAACCCTGCATGTTCAAGTCACTTGACATGTGTTGATACTAGAAGGCTTATCTTTTAAAACAAGAAAAAAGAAAAAAGCAAACCCTTTAAAATGATCAACTTAATAAATTAAAATTGCCTTATTTAACTAATAATTAGTTTCCAAAAAGTTCACCAGTAAGGAGGCAGTTCTATAAGGCATAAAGTAAAAGAGAAAGTTAGC